GAAGGTATTGGCACACATTTTTATGATGTATCTGAATGGTTAGGGCATTCTCTGAGCAAGTGAGATGCTCAAGCCTAAGCATAATTTTTCACATCTGATGACAGTATAATGAGAACTGGATCCATGTCCAAGCAGCAGAGACTTCGCCCAGCTGATTTTTGCCTTACAGTCAGTCTGCTGCTTTCTTGGTCTTCTGCCCTGTATCCCTTAGATTTCCTTCTGCACCATGACCCATTTTCAGTCCTTGTCCATGGCAAGAGGATTGGAGTAGCTGATCTTTAAAGGTCTCCTTTGGCCTGAGACATTCTACAGTCCTATATAATTGTTTAGCAAAGCAGTTCTTTAAATGCTTGAGTTGGATTAAGTGGACTTAAAGGTTTCAGGTACTTGAAAACTATGAAACAACTTTATTGCCCCAAACCTGGGGAGAAAGCAAGTCTTGCATTGGCAGGCTAATGTGCCAGATCACATGCAGGAACTTCGAAGATTTTTGTTTTTAATAATGAAGTGGTATCTTATATGTGTGTTCTAGAAATGCATAGATAGTGTATATTTAGTGATACTGTGGTTTAAAGAATCCCCATCAACATCCTGTTGATGTGTCTGCTTCTGTTGGAACTGCTCTGAAATATGGGTTTCAGACACTACATGCAGGTTTGCTGGCTGTTGCAGTGCTAGTCTGTGTCCTGAAGCTCCCTTTTACTCTGTTGTCTGGAATTTGTTTCATTTATTGAAAGAAGCTTGACCTGGTTTTCTGCAATTTGACTCTTTCAGAAAAAAAAATTGTTTCTACTTGAAATGGAAAGGGAAAAAGTCTGGATAGGTTGCCATGAAATATTCGGAGGAAAAAGTGATAAACAGTGGAGATTCCACAGTAATTTTCCCTGTGGAGTGGTAGAGCAAGTTCCTTAGGTTCTTTGCCTTTCTGGCTTTATGAGATAGGTAATACAGTTGCTTAAAAAAAATGTAATGATAGTCCAACATTTTCAAAGAGACTAATGGTTTTGACCCCTAGTTCTGAGGGGGCATTCTAAGAGGTCCTGCTTTGTGGAAGGCAACTCACCTGTTAAGATGTCCAGAGAGGATGAGATAAGGCAGCAGCCTTGATTATGTAAAAGGAAACTGTGAAGGGGATGATATGTTTTTTATGCCCATTTCAGATGGGACAAGAAGTGGCAGGCTTGCACTGAGAAACGTGAGCTAGGTTAGGGCTTTCAAGTCATTGCAGCTGTGAGGGTAAAATTATTCCTTGTATAGATTGCCTACAGAGATTATGCAAAACCTCTCGTGATTGGAAGATTTTTAGAACAGATGAGACAAACATCTGTCAGGAGGAATTTAGGTTATTTAGGTTGAGATGACTTGGACAGGCTAGAGAGCAGGGCAGGGAGACTCTTATGAAATTCAACAAGAGCAAATGGGGAGGAGCAACCCTTTGGGCTGACCTGTGCATTCAGAAGACTGTGGCCAGTAGGTCAAGGGATATTATTCTCCCCCATACTCTGCCCTGGTGAAGCCACATCTGGAATACTGTGATCAATTCTAAGCTTTTCAGTTCATGAATTGTGAACTGGAATTACTTGGAAGAGCCTCATGCAGGGCCACAGAGATTGTTAGAGGAATGGAACATCTGCCCTATGAGGAAAGGCTGAGAGAGCTGGCGCTGTTTAGCCTGGAGGAGGCTGAGGGGAGAATCTCATAAATACTTATACACATCTGAAGGGCAGGTGTCAGAAGGATGGGTCTGGTTTCTTTTCAGCAGTGTACAATGACAGGACAAGAGGCAATGGCACAAGCTGCAGCATAGGAGGTTCGAGTTAAACATAAGGAAAAACTTCTTTACTGTGAGAGTAACAAAGCACTGGAGCAGGCTGCCCAGAGAGGTTGTGGAGTCTTCTTTTCTGAAGGCATTCAAAACCAATCTGGACATGTTCCTGTGTGATCTATTGTAGGTGATCCAACTCTAGCAGGGGGGTTGGACTGGGTGATCTTCAGAGGTGTCCTCCAACTCCAACCACTCTGTGACTGTGTGGCCTTGCCCTAAGGCAAGGAATGGACTAGAAACCTCCTGAGTACTCTTCAAGGGATTTTTATGTGTGGTTTGGTTTTTTTAAAATGATTTTGTAAAATAAATGTTCCTTACAATTTGAAAGTGAGTACTTGAACTGATTAGGAGTCAGCCACTGTATTTGCATGTGACTATGTGATACTTTTGCTTAATGCAGAAGTGTTTCTGAAAAAATGAGGTTATTAGCATTTTGGCTACATAACTGCTCTTTCTGCTGGGGGGTTGCTTTCCATCAGACATTTTTATTTTGTAAGTACTGATGCAGAGAGGAAATCTGACAACAGTTTGCTGTTGATTTTATCTGTTAATTACGCAAATTTTTTACATGTACTTAAAAATGCTTCAGGAGCTTCACCTTTTCCTTTGCCACTAGGGCATGTGATTTTCAAGAACATGTTCTGAACTGGTTGATTAACAGGGAAGAAAGAAGTCATTTGAATCAGAATGATAAATTTCAATGGAATTTTATAAATCACTGGGAACCTAATAGATTTCAGCCAGTTGTTCTGAGAGCTGTGAAGTAACTGCCCTTAAATACTTGACCCTTGTGAAAGTACCCTTATATTTAACTTCATATTGAAATATTAGTGTAAGGAACAGGCTAAGTGGCACTCAAGCTTGATTTTGCTTATTGCCCTTGAACTGCAGAGGCATTTGTGTTTGAGAATGTATGTAAGCAGATACACCCTTCTTTGAATAAAGGCCAAGCAAGGGCTTGAGTGGAGAATCAACATCTAGTGACTGCTTTTGCATACTCTTTCATTTTAAGCTTCCTTTGGTTGATCTTGATGATTACATGCTAGGAAATGGAGAAAGTACTGGCAGGTGAAGTCACCTTTCTGAAAAGAGACACAAGAGTTATCAAACAAAAAATACACAAGAATTATCCTGTGAATTTTGCCCACATGTGTGTTAGCTTATGGCTTGCTGTGCTGCTAAGGATCTCCTACTGTGCTGATAGCCTGCCTTGAAAAGTCACACCCCTTTATTATTTTTTTTAATACAGATACTTTGCCATGCAGCCAGGTGTTTTGTGTTGCTGAGGCATTGCAAAGCAGCTGGAAAATTGTGTCTTAGCTATCTTGTGCAGTATATTGGGGTATTTCTTCTGCCCAATGTTATACTATATACAAAGAAAGAGTTAAGTACGAAATAATCTAATTCAATCTGTTTTCTTTGACTACTGAAATGAGATAGTATTTGGATATCCCAGTTTAGTTGCACAGATGCAATTAAGTATATGATTATTTTTACTTCAGTGAAAGACAGTACTTTTGTAGGTCTGAACCTGAGCTGTGCTATTTCTGCAGACAGGTTTTTTTAAAGTTGCTTTTGAAAGCAAATAAAATGCTGTGTTTTGTTACTGATGGTTTTCTTTGTTTGCTGTGTTTTTTCAGAGCCTAAATGTAAAGAAGCCCTTCTCCACCTTGTGATGAAATTGGGATTGGTTAAGCTTTCCCAGTTCTTAGCAGCCCAGCCTGGAGGGTCATTAGCATTGGCATTACCTAATGAGGATGGAGCAACACCATTAGATTTGGCTTTACAAAATGGGCACGCCAGACTTGTTGACTTCTTCACAAAGTGAGTGTAACGGTTTGCTGCTTCCTCTGAAAAACTCCTCCCCACAAGAGGGATGTGGGAAGTACTGCTGTTGCCTATTTTGTGTTGGTTTCTGGGTTCTTTTGCTGTTATTACAATTTTAAGTGGTAAACTTGTGTTTACAGGTAAAGGAAGTTTATGATTTGTGTAATTGATTAGATTGACAAGTCAATTAATAGCCAATTAAGTGACACAGGACCAACTGCACTATCTGCCCTTGGTACCTCTTTGACATTATAGCAGCTGAATCCTGACGTTACCAACAAGTAAAAATATCTTTTAAAATATATATATAGAAACATTTACACATAAACAGAACCATATGACCTTACATTCACAAAACCTCAGCAGACTTTGTTACCTCTGTAAAGCTCAGGTTTGAATAAGTAAGGTAAAATCAGTGCTGCAGCTACGACTGTTTTGCCAGAGAGCTGCCAAACTGACAAATGACTTAAAGGACAAGTGCTTCCTGGCACATTTCAGCTTCTCTGAAGTTTCCTCTGTACAGACCTGAGGTGTGTGGTGTGTCTTTGTATGTGTCTTGGGCTACCAAATGTTTAGCATCAGATGTCCCTTCTCACTGCTGGCTTTTCTTTGCAAGTAGAAGTATTTTAGAACTGGGTTACATTTTTATTTTGGTATATGGCTCTTTCGATTATGGCTCCGGGCAGTGTGTAGTTTATATGAGCCTTTCCAGTACTTCAGTTGAAAAAAAAATACAATGATACAGTACATTGGTACAGTACATTATGTTATGAATGTCTCATTTCTTTGTAATGTCCAAGCACTGCTGTATTCCCTTGAGATACTTTGTTTTTCACTGTCGTGGGATAAACGACCTGCTAGCCGCTAGTCGTTTCCTACAGCTATATATGGCATCTGCTTTAGTTTAAAGAGTGTGTCATTCCAGTTTCCAGGGCCGTCACTCAGTTGACATTTCAGAAGTGGAGATCAGCGAGGGTGCTTGCGTGCAGTTTGTTCATTCATCAGGAGCTCTGACGCTGACATTTAGCCAGACTGCACAGCACTTGCTGGAGTCGGACATTAAGCTTTTCAGAAAATACTTCTGGGACAGACCTCTTCTTTACCAGGTGGGTACCTATGTAGCTCAGGGCATTGCCACAGATTTTCTTCAATAATTTCCAGCAACAGGCTCTTCAGGCTTGATTTGTTTTTGTTGAGTAGCCTTTTTTTAAAGTTGTCTCTGTCACTCATGGCTGGGGTACTTGCAGGATTATTGTTGTGGGCTTTTTCTTTTGTGCTAGTGTAGTACATTCTGTGTGTGAAGCTGGAGGATAAGAGAGGTAGAGAACATTATCGAGGCCTGCTTTACCTCTCAAGTTATTTTTGAATCATTATGAACGCTACAGTGAACATCTTTCCCTGAAATCTTTGTGTTTTTAATTGTTTTGCATGTTGGTACTTGGAAATACTGAATTTATTTCCATTCTTTTGTATAGTAGTGCAATGTCTGGGAGCCTTTATCAAGAGCCAACCTGAATCTACAATTTAGAGCAGAAATAGAGCATAAACTTCTGCTATCATTTTATTATGGTGTAGTGGGTCTTACTTTACTGAAAGGTATCTGGATCACTGCTGTGATACTCTTCAGAACATTTCTCAAATTCAGTAAAGTAAGGAGAACACTTGAAAGCACAACTTCTTTAATACCAATGGACTTTTGGTTTTAGATTGAGACTGCACAACTATTTAAAACTAGTGAACTAAAAACATGCAGAAAATATTTTTTTCTCTTTTTCTGGTTTTAAAATGTAGATTTTTCTTTTCCATGCTCATTTCAGGTTTCCTTATTTGTAAGCAGATTTTCCTTGAGTTATCTTTACTGCATTCTGCATGTTTTTTTTTTTAAACCAGGATGTGATCCATGTGTTATGTTTAACATGAAAACTTGAGGTTTGATGTATTGTATAGTCCTTAAGTATAATATTGTGTAGTTACACTGCCAAGATTTTATTTATTCCAATACAAAGAAGTTGTCTGTGTTTGTAGCTTGCAAAATGCCTATAATTTGTGTGTGGCTTTTCCACGGAAACAGAAGTAAGCCCAACAGCAAACCAAGACTGTAATGAGGAATGCATTGTTATTTATATAATTGGGTTTTTCTTGCACTCATCAAATCCTTGTCCTTCTTCCATTCTTTGAAATGGAAAAAGAAAGCGTGTTATGTTAGATGTTTGCATGGCTCTCAGATAAAAAACTCTTAAAGGCTGCAATATTCTGCACTTTGTATTTTCAGCAAAAAGCCTACTACCCTTCATTTGTGAGATTCCCTTTTGCTCATTCCACTAGTTGCAGCAGTCTAGATCCTCCATTGTGGGTACTCTGTTTCTCCCCTGCCCAGTATCCGTGTTGCACTAATTCTAATAAAGCAGAAGTAAGCCAGAATAACTGGGAAGATCAAATGGTTCAGTTAATTTCCTATATACCAGATAGCATCCTGAAGTGTATATGAGGAGATCATCAAACTGTCAAGTTTAGGCTATGTATTATGTCCAAAAGTTAAGAAAAAAATAATTTTCTTTCTGTTGCAAACAAGGACTCGCATCTCTTACTGGTTTGGAGGCATAAGGTAGGCATTAGAGGTTTCACAAGACATATTCTTTTAAAAATAGATCTAGAATTTGTTGCTGTACTGGAGTATTCAGCTCATCTACAGCAGACTAAGAGTGTACACATAGTTTGTTTTATCTTGAGATGACATAAGTGATGACATTGCTATTTTAGGCTTGAGTTAGAAAGATGTGGTGTTGGATTTATGTATGACCTTGGGGAGAGAAACAGACTGTTTTTGCATTTATTCATGCAAGAAAATCTTTCTCAAGTGTATTCTTCAGTCCTGGACTGTAGGTTCTTTTAGTCCCTTGATTTTTAATTGCAATTCTAGAAGAGTAATGGAAAGGTTAAAACAAACTGGCTGTTGTGATAAGCTTGAGTTACCCACATGGCAACCATGCCTTCACTGGATTCTTTCAGGGGCTCTGCAGTTCAAGAAGTGTAAACGCACAGGTTTTGTAGCTGTGCTAGGTAATACAGAGGAAAGGTTTCTGAAGATGATGAGGAAGAGCACTGAACTCTGTGCAACCTCCGGAAGGTAGAAATCGCTGTGGTGGTGGCAGCACCCAACAGTGAGGCTGAGCAGTTCATGGTGCACCTGCAGAATAGCCCTAAGCAGCTTGTGGAGATGATCTGTTTGGCTGTCTCAGTTGCTGGAAGTAGCACAGCCAGGCCAGGGGAGTAGTCCTCTATGGGATGAAAAGGATCTGGGGACTAATGGACAGATGTGAAATGGTGTCAGATCAATGGGAAAAGAAACAAAAAGAAAAAAGAAAAAAAGAAAGGCCAAACCAGGATAAAAATCCAAAAATTATTAAGATAATTTGTGGTAGTTCAAGTAGTTTTTGTAGCCTGGTGGTGGATAAATTTAGTAGTTTCTCAAGGAGCAGTTGACTTATTTCTGCCTGGCAGAAGTGCAGTAGGAAAGTGTCTTGCACAGCGACAGATCGGCAAAGAAAAATGCAACTAGCCCCACTGAGGTGAGGGATTAGCTATCTTGACGGCTGTGTGGCTTTCAAATCTGGCTGCAGTATCCAGACCAGAGTAATCCTGGACTTCTGCATTCAGGTTACCGTGCCTTTTCTCTGTTTGCTGCAAATACACAGGCGAGCTAACTTGAGGGAAAGACTAGAAGAAAGCGGACTTGTAGGTGGAACTACGCAAAAGGAGACATTGTTTACTCCACCTCCTTTGCTTATAATCTTTGAAGGCAATTGCTAAAATAAGGGAATGTGTCTTAGCCCCCTCTTCCTTTTGAGCAGAAGTGATGTAGTCAGTGTGTGTATCTGAGCAAGTGGTCAGCCCTGCCAGGAGCCATGGATATGGGGAGGGAGCAGCTATTGCCTTCCATGATGAGTTTACCAGATAGTTAGTGTTTAGTTCCGAGTTTGTGTTGTCTATTGGTCAAAATTGCTCCTGCACAGGGATGCTTTCAAGGTTAACTAGAAATTTGAACAGTGCTGTTGTACAAAGCTGCTTTTCTCATGGAGAAGAAGGTTATGAACAACGAAGTACAAATGTTAAATCTGATCCTTTAGATCCCTTGTGTATTGTAAGCAGGAGGTAATTTCTCTCTGTAGTTGAAAATATTGTATTGGTTTCCCTTCTGAGGAATTGCAGTTGGCTTCCTCTGGAGTGTAAGTAATAAAATACTCTGTGGAATCTCTATCAATCATTTTAGTATTGCTATAACATACTTGTTTGCTATTCGTTGATACTGTTTTTGAGTTTTCAGATTAATGTTATAGGCATCAAATACATTGTTATTGTAATTTTATTTTTTTTTTTAGAGTATTAATTCAAACCAAGTTGAGGCAGTGGAATGTCGAGAAATGCCCTGCAGTACAGTGAGCTCCGTAGAAGGTAAAGTTTTTTATTCCATAATGTTGCTGTCTTTAAAAGCTCTGGAAAGTTGGCACAGATCACATTTCATATGTCATTAGAGACCTATAAGTAGACAACACTTGAATATACAAGTCATATACTGTGAGAGTTGTGTAAATCATGATGTTCCCTAC